AAATCCGTCGTCGTCTTAACCATCCGAGGCTATCTTGCCAATTTCCTCGGAGATCACAACCGACATTTTCTTCATATCTTCGGGAAACTGACAATGTTGTAGGCATCTTTGCATGAAAGGTCGAGCTATTCGACGTCACGCTTGACTGAAGCCGACGAATTGGGCCTCGAATCGACGACAGCCGCTCTTGGTGTTGGGGACTTTTGGAGTGGATCCGTCGGAATTCGGTGACGTCGTTTTGTCGCGGAAGCTAGTCGAAAAGACGTTGCACCCGATCACGAAAGCCGAGGTCCCGATCCGTTCGATCCATCCGCCGTAGAAGTCGGCGGCAAAATGGTCAATTGGCCGAATAAATGGTACCTCTGAGATTGACACTTTTGTGTCAGAAATGAAGAAGAGTTAAGTTTTCAAAAAGTGTTTAGTGCTTCAGTGTCATTCAACTTTTCATCTCGACGACAAGAAAAATGTGTCAACCCTTTTTCCGTTTTCCGGCCAGATGAAATCACGAATTGCCTCCAACCCCAAAACCTCCCTCGAAGGCCGCCTTGCCTCCGTAATCCTCAATCTGCCCCTCTCGAGTCGGTGCTCGTGTGGCTCATTCAAGCGTGAACTCGTGACGTCACGGTTGACCGAACCGGTCGTCCGGTCACTCAATCTCCCACTTCTGGACGCCCGGTCTGCAGCTGATTACTGTAGTTGTGTTGCCAAGGTGATGTTCACATTCGTCCAACTCGCCAACACCATCGCAGCTTTGACGGCTCGGCTGATGGCCATTTGGGCTAGTTGGGTTGTTTGTGCAGGTTGAACCAACGCAGGCTGACAAAGAGGACCTCAGTCGAACCCGTCTGGCTGCCGGAGGTCGGCCATCTTGTCGTCGAGGCATTGGCGAGTACAGCAAATAAAAATTGGGTTGCCAAGATTCGCTTGTTTCATCATTGTTTAGCTGACTTCTATTTCGAGTGAAAGTGTGCACTGAAGAGATTCAAAGGTCGAGTCCTCTTAACCAACCGTCGATTGACCATTATGGGACATTCATGTTGACGTTGTTTTTTTTCGACTCCAGTGAAACGGTGTCGAGCTCTTGTCCGTCACGGGATGAACATCATCAGAACACGGTAGCATCGTGACAACCAAATTGAAGCCAACGAGTCAAGAAAACGTCCCGCAACATTCCTAAAAAGCTGTACATGTAAATTCTATTTTTCGAATTAAGTATTTTTGTTTTTCGTGTCTACCTTCATCACTTTAAACAAAATTGGGTTAATACATCTCATATACATTCTATGTCTGACCTCTTTGATGAGGTAGAAAGTGATTTGGTTAGTTTCAGTCACATGTCAACTTCGAATCCTGTGAGTATGTCTGTCTCTGTATGTGTATGTGTATGTGTATGTGTCTTTTTGTGTTCGCTTATGCACGAAACCCGCAATGATGGCTCAAAGTAATGAGGACAGCAAGGTCGGATACTTGTTTGCTTTTGTTGATGAGTTTTTTGTTTGTTTTTGGTATCAAAAAAAGGTCGGTCAACTGTGTTGTCTTGTTAACTTGAATTCGGTTGTCACGGTGCTGCCCTGCTCTGATGATGTGCGTCATGTGACGGAAGAAAAGCGGAATCGAATGAAATTATGCCATTGGAGACAGTGTCGTCGTGAATGTTCCAGTAAAGCCAATCGACATGGTCTTGTTCCCATTCTGACTCGAATGGACCGTGGTTTTGGCCTCCCAGCCCGACTGGAAGCCGGACAATTCAATTGCACACTCACAATTGTGCTCATGTGAGTGTGACTGTGGGACAATGCAACTGCCAGTCGCCTGGTTACCACCAACCGGATAGGATCTCGTGAATGTACGATCTACTGGCAGTGTCGAGAGGCAAAGTTCGAGTGAAAAGTCATTTGAAGCCGGATCCTCAAGTCCGTTTCGCCGAAAGTCTTCTGGCGTCGAAGA